GTCGAGGTCAGAAGACGCACTGATTCGAGGGGGTCACCCTGGAACCCGATGCATGACGAGATTGACAGTGACTGGAAATGAGTGTCGGAGACGAGCCGTGAGGATGACTTACGAAGCATGCACCTATCGAGTACACGAGAGCACGTCGCGTAGGCTAGTCGGTACTTAAGAACAATCACGACTATCGCGAGAACAATTATGTTCTGTTTGGTAAACGAGGGGGATAAGAGAAAATATATATATTCGGTCCAAGTTAGGTAGCTTACCTTTGTACAGATAGCGCGCACATGATACTTAGTCTATGGATCTATCTTATGATTACTTAAAAGTAAACGCACGCATCGTTCATTGATGTGTCGCAAATGATGTCTCGAGAAACCTAAAAGCTAAAACAGAATATATTATTGTTAATATGTAGCTGAAAGGAAAGGGATTAGTACAAGGAAACCATCAAGGCTAATAACCAAATGGAACGAGCAAGCCAACGACGAGACCTGAGCAACATAACTACGAACAGAAACATTCCAACGGCGAGATATAAACATACCAACGAGGAAGCCCTCGAGTATTATACGAAATACTAGAACGCTCTAACGAAAACAAATCGAACGGAAGTCGTAAAATTTGTGAAAGGAAAGATTTTGCCAACGATGAGACATAAGTAAACCAACGACGAAGCATTCGAATATTGTACGAAATACTCGAATGCTGAAACAGAGAGACAAATAGAATGAAAGAAATAAAATCTGGAAGAAAAAAAATAATTAGAACCTGAAAGAAGAAATTATTGTTAAATTATTTAAGAGAGTGGACAATAGCCAATGAATAGCCATTGATCTAGCCAACGATGATATACAGATAAACCAACGACGAAGCATTCGCATAGTGTACAAAACACTTGAATGCACAAACAATGATATCTAGAATAAAAGAAATAGAATCTGAAAGAAGAAATAATTAAAACCTGAAACAAAAAGAAAAAATATTAACGCGGACCTTCCGCAGTCGAAGCGACAACTGGTTCGAACCTGCATGCGGGCCCCTTATATAGCGGCGGCCGGCCGAAGATCGGCGAAAATTTCCGAACTTTACCGATTCCTTTAAAAGTTATTTTTCCGCTGTAATAAGTAATAATTTATTAACTTTTTTGACTTTTATCGTTAATATGCGTTGCAAACTACTTGTTATCAACGATTGTAATTTGTTATTAACAATAAATTTATTAATTTATTAACTTCTTGTAAGTTACGAATACATTTTAACACAAATATGTTGTTTGTTTAAGTACTAGTTAATAATTTATTAACTTTTTTACTTTTATCGTTAATATACGTGGCAAAATATTTGT